ACCAAAATGATTGACCTATAATTTTACTTTTTTAAATAATTTACTACGGTAATAAAAGATTGTGTTATAAAAATATTTTTAGTTGAAAATTGAGTTAAAAATAATTATTAAAAATATTACTATATTTTGTTATAATATTTTTTATATATATTTTATAATAAATTATATAAAAAAAATAATCATTCTTTTCTTAAATCCCTTCTTGGTCAATTCAATTTGAAGTACACCTTGAGGGTTTTATTATAGTATTAAAACAGTGAAGTATGTAAATTATTTTAAAGGACCCAAGTAAGGACAAAAGTAACATTTAATAGCATGCATTATTAAATTTTAAATTAAAATTTTAATTTTAAGATATAAATATAAATATTTAATAAAAAAATACATATCAGTCTCAATTGTAAAAAATAGTTAGAGTTTTAATTTTAAATTAGGTCATTTTATTTAATTAAAACTAAATTCTAAATTTAAAAAATTATCTTATTAAATGTTGATATCTTAGAATATATAATGAGTTTTTCAAATTTAAATATCAATATTTAATAAGATAAGATTTTAATTTTTAGACGTACATTAACACTCTAATTATTTTTGAAAATTAAAATTGATATGCATTAATCTCATTTAACAAAATAAATTTTTAAAATTTGAATTAAATTTTAATTAAATAAAATTACATCATCAAAAAATTAAAATTCTAAATATTTTTAGGGTTGAGACTAATCTTATATACTTAAATTTTAAAAATAATCCGCTAATATGGTAGTTTCACATAAATCAACAAATCACTGTTTTCAAAAAAAAAAATTTCACTTGTTTTTCCCTTTTGTGAGTAATATTCTTTATCCTCATTTGAATTTCTGTGGGTTGTGATCTTTTACCATTTTTAAATTTTTGAAAAAGATGTGCTAGCAGTAGATAATGACCGTATATCTTTTATGATGGATAATAAGGAGATTATATATTTCAATATATTTTTTAGTTTTTTAATTTTTTTAAAGAGGGCAATGCATATCAATTTTTACTTTAAAAAATAATTA